AGTGAGAAAAAAATTAAATGGCTTTGCCAAAATACTAACAGGTCAATGCAAGTGCAAAGAAAGGAAGATCAGACCAGAAAAGGCTGAGAAGGAGGCAAGACTGTAGCAACTTTGACTCAGACTCAAATGCAGTCATCGAAAAATATAATGAGTAGGAATTCTATACAAAATGTTTGGTTAATTCATCCTTTTAAAAAAGGGTAACATCAGCTAGGTACCTGCCTTTGCAGTGGATAAGAAGTTCACACTTTAACATACTAATCCCTTAAAAAAAAATAGTTTGCTGTAGAACAATTTCTGCTTTAATTTTGCATTTGCTGTCAATCTTAGCAAAGAGGCAGTAGATTCATTAGCACCTCCTCTCTCTAAACTGAGATTGTATTTAGCAGTTGAGAAAGTAGGAATGTTCATTTTCTTCTAATTTATTAATAAAAAGAATTGTTTTGAAAGCCTAAAGTATCTGGGATCAGATTTTCTGACAGTATTAAGGTACCTAACCTAAGTGCTCTTGAAATTCCTAATAGTTAACAACTACTACAGATTTAAAGGCAGTTTTGCCAGCTCAGGTCAATGATTAACTCATCAATTTTGAATTCCACGGATTTCAACAGAAGTTACCTACCTAATTTCTTTGGGAGCTTCGACAATTTTAGTAACTATCTGCATTTGTTTGATAACTGACCATAGACCTGGCACAAAATTAACTACAGTTAATATGTTATTTATTAAATCAGCAACTAATAACAACTTAATTTGATAAACTATTTTAGTACTTTCAGTGCAATTCTACTGACACATTTAAAACATTAGATTCTAATTTCCATCCAAATAAAGCTTAATAAAAAACAAATGAAAAACCAGAAAGTTATAATTACTATCAAGACATTGTGTTCTGCAATAACATAAGGGGGGAAAAATAAGATCTAAATAAAAGCATACTAATATAGTTACTTGATTAGCTATCACATCTTCCTAAATCATATCAATGTTAAATGCACATCAACATATTTTCATGTTAAGCCACACTGCTGAGAACATATCCCTCAAAAACTAATAATAAAAAAAAAGATATAGCTATAGTATATAAAAATCAAGCAACAGATTTTGATTAAAAATACTTTTAAAGAAATCAATCTAACCTAAGTTATAAAAAAAATTGTAAAATTTCTGTTAGGGTGGAATTACTAAACCAAGACACTATGAAGGACTCAGAACTTTGACTTTACTAGATTGACAAGCAGTTACTAAAAATATCATGTTAATTATAAAAAGGTGGTATTACAGATGGCTCTAAAAGGAAACCCTTAGTGAAGGTAAGTCAAACAAACTGGAGAAAGGTAATGCAATAGTGTGCTGAAGCAACTCTGGGGTGACCTCATTCTCAGAAGGGAATTGCAAGCATACATGAGTCAAATGAGTTTATAAACCTTTTCCTGGATCTCACACGTCAGGCCAGAAGAAAACCTCCTAAGGAGAATTCCAGAGACAATGAAGCCAGACATGGTATCCGAAGAGTAGCTCTAAGGGTGTTGTGATCCAGGTCCTGATACCACACAGCCTGCATAAGAGTCAGGGAACAGATCCATCATGAAGAAAGATTATGCTAGAGATGGCAATCATACTGCAGAACCCATGTTTTTTGTAATTAACTATCATTCATACTGAAGAGCAAAACGGTCCAACAATTGTTGGGCTTCTCTACATGCAGCAGTATGTATTTTTAGACAGGAGGTGGATGTTTCACCTAATTGCAAGCCTGCTGGTGTGATCTCAACAGTATGAAAGGTTTTAGATTAAACTTTGAAGAAAAGAATAATTAAAAATACAGAAATAAATGGAAAAGGGATAAGCCACAGCACAGTTAAGTTTACTTAAGCTGGCTGATACTATTTTCATAGTTTTTTAGACAAAGGAACTGCACTACATTTAACCTGAATTTCAGTGAACTTCAGTGTGGTGCCCCACAAGATAAATCCAACAATGTGGAGATTAATACAAGAATCTAAGGAGCAAAAGAAACTGGCTGCAGAGGAACAAAGCTGGACTGTATGAAAAGGGGGAGTATGGGACTGAAGGGAAGTTTCTCATAATGCTCCTGAAAGACTGGCTGGGGGGAATGACCTTATTTCATACTTTAGGTAGCTCTGGCACACTAAATAGGAGCGTGCAGATTAATTTTAAACAACATATGTAAGGAGGTATCATTAATACAGAAGGACTGCTTTACCTCAAGGACATAAATAATGGTAACAAGATCAAATCTCAAAACACAAAAATCAAAGTTTCTTGCATAGCGGAAATTAATACCAAAATGCATAATGAGAACCAACTGGCTGAAAACAGAAAACAGAGTGGATGCACAGGCCAACTGTTGGACTACCACAATACATCAAATATGACAGAAATGCTTTTCAAAGCTGCTGAGGCACATGAGATGAGATATATCAAGTAGGAGGAGGGACATATTACCTTTCAAAAAAAAACAATACTACTAGTGAGAGCTCAGTTGGAATCAGAGGTATAACTCTAGTTCAGTTATTTGCAACAAGAACAAATTCAAATTAGATGAAGGACAGAAAAGGGTTACAAGGATTACCAAGAACTAGTTCATGAGAGGAAACAGAGCATGAACTGTTTAGTCAAGGAAAATTGAGGCTAAGAGGGAATACAATTGTTTTCTAGTAAACACTAGGGTGATTTGCAGCAAATACTAAAAGACCACATTATTAAAAGAATAGATATTACCTAACCTGAGTAAATTTAGGTGAGAATTAAAATATTATAAGGCTCTAGAATATCTTTCCCAACATAGCCAGCGATGACAGAAGTTCACAATTTCAAGAGAGAACCTGATTTTTAACTTATTATCTAATACAATTGCCTACGATAATAGAGGGTTAGACTCAAAGACACAAGAGGTTTTTCCAGTTTTGCGTTCCTAAACAACTTCTTTGATACCAGACAAATTTTACCTGGAATTACCTCTTCATTCTACAAAACAGAACCTAACTAAAACAGATGTTAAAAGGATCCATTTTTGACTGCTAGGGGGTGCCAGATTTGCGTTGTCTCATCCTAAGGCTGCACAGACATATCAATAAATCTATATAATTTGGATTGCAAGTACTATGGCTAATGCACATATTGGAAAATACATACCTACAGCCCTACTTTTCATTTTCACCTGGATACAGCAACACGTCAGCCTATGAACATTTGCCATACGTGCAGGAATTGGCTGTTACAGCAGCAAATTCTATTCAAACTAGCTACTTCCCCATTCCTTGGGAAACATAGCAGGCTAGTAAAAGCATCCCAAAGAGGTATCTGGCTCAACATCTGAATCAAGTACTCTTTCCAGTGTCTTTAAATGTGATCACTGGTTTTAACAACAAATCACAAAACATCCAAACGCAACATCTAGTAGACTGATGCTAACAACATTTAGTCACACCTAAACCACAATTTCAAAAGACAGAAAGTACTTCCTAAACTTAATAGTGCTGCGTCTTCTAAGAAACTGCAATGGGCAGAAACTGAACCACAGGAAGTTCCATCTGAACCTGAGAAAAAACTTCTTCACTGTGAGGGTGACAGAGCATTGGAACAGGTTGCCCAGAGGGGTGGTGGAGTCTCCTTCGCTGGAGATATTCAAAACCCGTCTGGATGTGATCCTGGGCAATATGCTCTAGGTGACCCTGCTTGAGCAGGGAGGTTGGACTAGATGATCTCCAGAGGTCCCTTCCAACCTAAACGATTCTGTGATTCTGTGATTCTGTGAAACCGCTTTCAGAACATGCATCTTTTTTTTTTCTTAAACACAAAATTCCTTAAAAAAAACAACCAAACAAAAAAAACCTGTATCTACAGTGTTAGCTTCTAATCATACTAGAAGGATTTCTTTAAAAGCACAAGAACACAAAAGAATCTAGACTCTCAAAATTGGTCTAAACTACAAATTTTTAGCAGTATGGCTGCTGTCATCAAGGTATGAAGGTATACAGCCCATGGCAAACATACTTACACCAACAAAACTGATGATATAGATATCACAGTTCTCATTTGCTTCGCGTATATTATTTAAGAAGACGACATTATGTCAGTAGAAAAACTATTTTCCCCTACTATGTGTTTTATCTCCACTGTGCAGCCAACCTAGCCTCTAGCAAGTAAAGGTGCCTTTCATCATTTGGCTTAACTTCTAAAATTGGTTCTGCAGCCTCCATGACAGTTGGGCATGACTTCACTCATCTACTATTCACACTAACTAGATTAAAAAATACATGAACATCTGGCCAGTGCTATATTTACATAATACAAACCGACTATAAATGACAAACGTCATCACAAAAACAGCAAGGTAGAAAAAAGATGTTCCTCAATTTGGCTTCTGCTTGCTTTAAAAGACGACCTAATTTATAGCTACTCTTTGGAGGTACAACCTGATTGCTAGTTCCTGATGCTCCACTGCCTCTGAGTGAAGCTCACTGAGGGGGCCAGACTTACCAATGCAGTATCTAACAGCTAAGTGGCTAGCTCTAAGAACAAAATCTACAAGCGTAATTTAGACACCTAAAATTCCTCAGAAAAATACAGGAAAATCATGTGCTGTAATTTGCTCTTCTTGGACTTCAGCCCTTTCCAACTTTGTCACTGAAAAAGATGGCATGCAACTGGGATTCACAGTCTGAAAATCTTTCTAGGTCTTCGAAACCTGAGCAACATTCTCTAGGTAGACAACTAAATCACTGATTTCTCCAAAAACATGGCGAAAACCTCTATCCATCTTTCAGAAAAATAACCTAATTGTAGTACTCACCTGGTAAATGAGAAACCTGTGTTCAAGCCCCTTCTCAGCCCAAGTGGATTCAAAATCTCAGCTCATTTCCAATATGGTATCCTAACCAATAAATATTAGACTGGGGCAAGGCTGCTCTTCACTGTTTGGAAGAAATCTACTGCACAGTCAGAAATGTAAGAATCAGCCACAGAAAATACAGTTTTACGACAGGGTGCAAAACCAGACAATACTTCCCTGATGTTCTAGGTCCCAGACCACGAATACAGCTGAAAACTACTGGACTCAGTGTTGTGTCGTCTGTTACATCTGTTCCAAGACTGATTTCTGGGCCAGAGTTGTACACAAACGACTCGTACAGAGAATTTCCTTATTTTGATAAAGCCACACAGAATTCTGTGAAAGAGGAATGCCAGGCTGCTTGCATCAGCCAAGATGGCAGAATGAAATTTGGATGTGTATATGCCTGTGTGAATCTGTGGCTTCTTTTGCCAGAACTTGCAAATCTATCCAAAGCTAGATAATGACAAATTATCTTCAGATCTCCTGTCAGTCCTCCTCCTTTCATTACAGTCCCCATTTCCCATTTTGGAAGGGAGGAAGAGGCAGAAGTGCTTACTTGCCAAACACTTATTACGCATGGCATCTGCTAGTTTGCTTTTTCTTCAATACTGGATCACTCTGGGCTATTCTTGGAGAGATAAACAAATGTTTTTCACAGTCTGGGCTATTCTTGGAGAGATAAACAAATGTTTTTCAGCAAGTTCCTTCATTCCCAAAGTCATTAAGGAACGTTTGTAAGTTTCTTGATTCCTTATAAAACAGCTCAGGAAAGGACACACCATGAGGAAGAAAATAGGACAGTCAGCTGCATAAAGCCACATACTCCCAGCAAAATAATATTTGCACTTAGCATTCTCGTTTTGATAGGAGCATCAGCATAGAGATTTCCTAATAGGAAGAAAGTGTAAAGCTCTTAGGTGAATAAGCAACAAAGCTTTTAAACAAAGAGTTACAAGGAGGTATATTCAGAGATCTAAGACTTTTCAGTTTTCATTCATTCAGCTATCCCTTAAGCCGAAAATGAAAAAAATAGTAAGCAAAAGGAATTAGTTTTCAGTTATCCTATTATTAGAGCACAATGAAAAGCTATGTGAAAACTACTGTCTCTCTGTTCATTTCTGGTTCTCGTCTTCCCTAATTAAATTGCTGAACAATCAAATGTAAATAGAAGGAAGAGAAGAGTCACTGTGAGATATTTTTTCCTAAATAAAGATTTAAACATAGGGTAGCATTTTGAAACACTAGACGCTCAAGTCTTCCATGGCATTCAGTAACCCTGTCTGGAAGTCCAGGAAGTTGCTATGAACTATCTAATAAACCAGCTATTAATATCATAATGATTAAAACTTGATACTTACTATCATATCTTACACATTAACAAATTTATTTTGCTTTGTCTCAATTCTTTGTCAATTAGTACCAATACTTCAAACACAGATTTTAATATTATATAAAAACACCTCTCACACACAAGTGTTTCAGAAGCATAAGCAGTCTTCCTGTACATATCAACACCTGTGTGGGATGGTTCTTTTGGGGGGGGGAAGAGGAGGAGAAGAAACTGCAAACCAAAAGCAACAGAGTTTAGAAACACTACCAGACTGATACTCATGCAACAAAGTAGCAGTTAAGAGTCCCATTTAGTCTTTTTAACTAATTTACCTGTTGGTCTGTTGAAGTACGTTGCTGAACTGCATCATGGCTCACAGAGCCTTTTTTGACTTGTACCCTGCCAGGTGGAGGAGGAATTACACCTGAATATGAAGCTGGGTTATCAGCATCTGAAGAATACAAGGCTGTGTGTCTTGATTCTTGTTCATTCTTTGACACAACAAATCTGGGAAGAGGGAGGTCCTTTACTGTTAAAAAATAGAGCAGGCCATATAAGTATGATGCTTAAAAATAAAAACGCATTTAACTTCATGGTTAAAATTTAACATGTGCCTCAATTAAACACAGACTGCTGCTACAGTCAAGCCAGTATCTACCAGTTGGGGAAAAAGAAAACAAAAAAACCCAAATTCCTTTTCTGCATCATATTTTATGATTCTGCTACCCAAGTTCTGGTTTTGGTATATAAGAGATGACTTCACCTAGCTCCATAAAAACAAGAGTTTTGCTCCACAACTCTGATTGCCACTGCATTTAAACACAATCTGAATTCAGCTCTTCTTAGTTTTACCAACATTTTAATTACTGAAGTGTGATTTTTCAAAAATTATCTCCCATTTCTAGCACATATCTAAAATTAGAGTGTTACTGTCTTCATACAGAACGGTTCATCAGTAAAAAGAAATATTAAAAGATTGCAGTATAATCAACATCAACTTTTTTCTAATGAACTTGTATCATGTTTATTTTCACGGCAGATATTTAACCCTGTTGCAAATACTGCAAGTACTGCTTAAACACATCTGCATGCACCTTTCTACATGAGAAGCTAAATTAGTCATACAGTATCAACTGTCACTTTGTAACAAACATGTATAAACTTAAAGTTTCTACAAAAAGCTAAGAGGTCCTTAGCTTTATGCATCTTGATTCACTGTTGTCTGATATAAAAAAAGAGATTATATAAATCTCTAATGTCTTACTGCAAGATATCTACTGCTTTTCTGAATCCTGACCACAACTCTCTCACAGGTCCACTGGTAACGAAAACAAAATGCAAGTTTGCTGTACAGCTTGCTTGTAAATTGTTTTTCCAATACAAAAAAATTTAAAAGCATGGCTGAAATTTAATTTCTCATGTTGATTCCTGTATATCTATTAATTTTGGTATTAAAAATTGGTCAGTGGTACTATCAATACTACTAAAATATTAGACTAAACTGAATACAGTTTATTACATAAAAATTGAACATTAAACTGATTTGCATTTGAAGAATCTCATTTGAATCCATAATACTCAACAACTATAGAGACTTTATGTATCCTGTATTGAAGAACAACACTTCAGTAAGAAAAAACTTGATGTAAGCCTCCCTCACTAACTTAATTCAATGTGCCAAATTGTTTTCATCACATGGAAGAAGCATGCAATACAGTCTACTTGCTAAGTTTGTAGTTACATATCAGGTGGGAATCCCAATGCCTTCCTCATTCCTAGATCATTTCCACATCCATATTGTTCCCCATGTTGTACTAGGATAGTCATTCATGTGACTAAACAGTGAACTAGAACCAGTCACAAAAAGAAAGGAAAAAGTTCATTACATACAACTGAAAATTCTTATGCTTGCAAAACAGGGGATAATGCAAGCACTAGAACAGACAATTAGCACAGGGGAAAATCTGTATAGCCCATGCAACTGATTGTTCCAACATGAGGCTTTGGTATGAGACATTTAGCACTTTATCTTCCAAAGCAGCAAATATTCAGGGCTCACAAGAAACACAAAATACTCTATTCACTGTCTCGTTTAAAAAAAAAAAAAAACAGGCTGGATAAATACAGATTTACTTTTACTGGACTGTATAAATTTTTTACATAGACACTGAACTATGCCATTTTAACCTCTCCCCATCTCTGTCTTCTCCCCCTAAAAGCAGAGAAATTCATTTTTAACACTGCGATATTTGTTACCATTCAGAAATTCTTCAAATATAATTGTGATAGCTCTATGAATGGATTAACATCTTAAATTGAAACTAATTAGAAAACTCTGTAACTTTCATGTCCATCTCGTTAGCATTTTCTTCCACACACACAAAAAAACAATCCAACAGCAACAAAAAAAATCCCCACTGTATTCCATACTTGCTCGTTAATGTCTAAGTTCTTAGCTTCCTGAAAAGAAAATTTTCTAGGACAGCAAAGGAACAACAGATTTAGAGGTTTGCAGTATCATAACTAAAGTCAGTATTTTTAGTATACTGCCTTTGAGTAATCAAAAAAGCATTTAGTTAACTAAGAAGCAATTGGTAAGAGTTGTGTTGGACGGACTGAGTACCCAAAATTTGACTGTAGCCTCTATTCAGCTATTCATGTAAAGAAAGTTTCCCATCTACTGAAGAAAAACATAGGGAACCAAAAAGCAAAAGACACAAGGAGAAACTAGGAGAGAAAAATCTAAGGATAAAAGAGTGAATAACATAAGGCAACCACAGTTCCTCTTACACATCTCTTGAACTGT